TCTGCCCTAGACCTTATCTCTTCATGGGGTTTTCAGTATAAGAAACTGGAGACTTGGGTTCATGAAGTAAATGAAATGAGGCCCTTTCAGAACGGAGTTGATACAGTATCCATGGGGGAGAGCGGGGGTTACTAAGTGGCACCCATTACATCACAGAGGTCTGTCTCCCGTCCCCGGGTGTGGACCCGACAAAGTCACAGAGGGTTCTTTGGGGGCAGCAGTGACGCGTCCCTTCAGGTGGTGGGTAGCCGTGTGCTGGCGGCTGGGTGGGAACCACTTCTGACGAGTGCTGGGTCCTCCTAAGCCACTGTGGTCAAAATATTCCCTAAAATGAGAGTCCTGTGAGGTCGAATAAGTTTGGGAAATGGGGGCACCAGCTCTTGGAGAGTCAAAATGCATTGTTAGAATATGGAAAGCTCTAAGAAATCCTCCAGTAAAAAAGCTTGTTTGGTCCACCATTTTCTAACCTTCCTGTGGACTCATTCTCCTGAGAAGCATAAGGGCCATTTTGTTGCACTTTCTGTGTTTTTTAGATGCCTCTAATGACAAAATTCTAGCCTAACAGCGGGTGATCTCCCAGAGCTCGAGTTTCCAGGTGGGAGAGAATCAGGAGCCGCTGGAAGCTTTCACACCGGTTGTCCCTGGAAAGCACAGCACTGAGATACGCCCTGTAACGGGAGTCCATGCAGGCGACGCCCTTTGGGATCGGTTACCTTCTGAGGATGGTGTGGCATGAAAACTGGAACGGAGACATCATTTCTACCGGATGGAAAGCCCTGGTGTCGAGGTGGTTGCTGGAGCATCACGCTGATGTCGGGATTCCCACTTACTGAATGTGGCGTCGTCGTCGTCATTGCCAGAAACCCTGCGTCAAGGCCACCGTCCGCGTTGCCCGGGCCAGTGGTTGATGCTGGGTCCTCACTGGAACTCCTGGCAGCTCCGGTTACTTCCTCCTCCTCGAGATAACCTTTCACGATGCCTTCTAGGAAACCACAGTGCCTCCTGAACTTCCTCCTCTGGCTTCTCTCACTTGCTCTGCTGGACCGGGTTATTTCTTCAAATCTCTAGGTGCTGAGGAACCCTAGGGCTCAAGCTTCCAGTCTCTCTAGAGTCTCTCTCTCTCGATGGTCTCTTCTCCAGTCCCAGGACTTTACGTGTTATTAATGTATGTGGTCACGAAATTAATATCTTTGGGCTTGACTTTTAAGCTCTTTTTTTTTTTTTAAGATTTTATTTATTTATTTAACACAGAGATCACAAGTAGGCAGAGAGGCAGGCAGAGAGAAAGGGGGAAGCAGGCTCCCTGCTGAGCAGAGAGCCCAATGCGGGGCTTGATCCCAGAACCCTGAGATCATGACCTGAGCCGAAGGCAGAGGCTTAACCCACTGAGCCACCCAGGTGCCCCAGCTTTTAAGCTCTTAACTTTGAAATTCCCCAGCCTTCCTGATACCCAAAGTAGCATCAAAAAATGAACATGTCTGAAACCGAACTTTTTTTTTTTAATATTTTATTGATTTATTTGACAGAGATCACAAATAGGCAGAGAGGCAGAGTGAGAAGGGGAAGCAGGCTCCCTGCTGAGCAGAGAGCCTGATTCGGGGCTCGATCCCAGGACCCTGGGATCATGACCCGAGCTGAAAGCAGAGGCTTTAACTCACTGAGCCACCCAGGCGCCCCTCTTTTTTTTTTTTTTTTTTAAGATTTTATTTATTTGACAGACAGAGATCACAAGTAGGCAGAGATGCAGGCAGAGAGAGAGAGGGGGAAGCAGGCTCCCCGCTGAGCAGAGAGCCTGATGCAGGGCTCGATGCGGGGCTCAATCCCAGACTCTGAGATCATGACCTGAGCCGAACGCAGAGGCTTTAACCCACTGAGCCACCCAGGTGCCCCTGAAACCGAACTCTTGAGTGCTACCTTTCTTTCTCTTCAGTGGTCAGTGGCCTCGTCATAGGGCCAGTAACTCAAGTCACATGCCTTGGCATCATCCTGGATTCCCGCCTTCCTCACACCCACACCCCACCCATCAGCAAATCCTGACTTTGAAAATACAGCTTGAACCCAGTCATATTCACTACCTCTGACGCTACCAACACTGTCCTAGCCATCATCCTATCTTACACAGTCTAGGCAGCTGTGTCCTTGCTGGACACAGACTGGCTGTGTCCGTGCCAGTCCCACGGTTTTCCCCACACAACAACCAGAGCATTACTTTTTAAAATTGCAAATGAGGGGCGCCTGGGTGGCTCAGTGGGTTAAGCCTCTGCCTTCGGCTCGGGTCATGATCCCAGGGTCCTGGGATCGAGCCCCACGTTGGGCCCTCTGCTCAGCAGCGAGCCTGCTTCCTCCTCTCTCCCTGCCTGTCTCTCTGCCTACCTGTGATCTCTGTCTGTCAAATAAATAAATAAAATCTTAAAAAAAAAAAGTGTAAATGAGGGGGGCGGTCTGGAGGCTCAGTCGTTAGGCATCTGCCTTCGGCTTAGGTCATGATCCCAGGGGGGTTCTGGGATCAAGACCGTGTCGGGCTCCCTGCTTCCCCCTTCGTCTCTTCACCTCTTCCTCTCCCACTGCCCCTGTTTGTGTTCCCCCCTCACTGTGTCTCTCTCTGTCAAATAATAAAATCTTAAAAAAAAAAAAAGGATACGTGAGGGGCATCTGGGTGGCTCAGTTGGTTAAGCGTCTGCCTTGGGCTCAGGTCAAGATCCCAGGGGTCCTAGGATCAAGTCCTGCTCATCAGGGAGTCTGCTTCTTCCTCTGCCCACCTACCTCTCCACCCCTCCCCGCCCCCAACAAATAAATAAAGTCTTTTTAAAAAAATGTGTAAATGAGACTATGTGCCCTGCCTGCTTGCAACTCCCAGTGAGCTCACATAGAAACCACAGAATCCGGACTCCCGCTGCGGCTTGTAGGATCCGGCCCCTAGCTGCCACTCCCACCCATTTCCTGCCTCTGTCCCCACCTTCCCCACTGCACTTAAGCCCCGCGGACCTGCCGGCTGCTCCTCAGGGGACAACACGCCCAAGCTGGCCAACACCCCTGCGCTCGCCCTGTCCCCGGCCCTGTGTCCGGGCGACAGGCTCTTTCCCCGGTACTGAGATCACTGCTCAAACAACACCTCCTTAGGAAGGCTTTTCAGAGCATCTGACAGTCCCTCTTCCCACTCCCTTCCCCCTGCTTTATCTTCCTCTGTGGCACTCCATTATCCCGATGCACGTTCTTGCTGTCCACCTTCCTCCCCCTGCAGTGTAGCCTCCCCGAGGCAGGGACCCCTCTCTCAAGCTCTGCTTTATCTCTGCGCCTAATCAGGGCCTTGAACACAGCAGGTTCTCCATCAATCATTTAAAAACGAATAAAGGAATCCTCTGAAAGACTTCTAGGCCACTCTGTCTTCCTTTAGTGACGCCAGCACTCAGGTGGATTAGAGTCCCGCCTCTGAGTGGCAGAGGGACAGCTGGGAACAGGATGAGAACGGGATGATCTCCCGCGCTCGGAAATGTCACTCTTAACAGAAGGAGGACCACGTAAAAAGCCCTCCTTGCTCTGAAACTGATTTTGAAGTGTGGTATAAAAACATATCTGCCTTCCCTTATTCTGATTATATATAGAAGGGAACAGTGATTCTCACTCCTAAGAGTTTTGCTTCTTCTCAAATATCAGCCATGTGAACCTATGGTTTGAGGGAGGCCACTCTTCGGGAAATATTTGGTCATTTGTTTCTGGGCTCCATATAAAAGAATCCATTGTCCGTAATGGATACCACACATATTAAATTTAAAATATTTTATTTCAGGAAAGGTACACTTAGATTTGTTTCAGTCTTGTTTTCTATATCCTTAAATTAATCGTGACACCTTAGATAAAGCCAGTGATTCTTCTAAACCTGTATCAAAAGGAAGGATTTTGTTGTTGTTTTTGAAAAACCACAAGAAAAATACAACTGCTTTCTTTTGTGTCCAGGTCAGTGATCCCTCCAGTTCGGGTGCAAATTTAAGTCTGGCAGCCATCAAAGTACTTAGAGATCTTCTTAACACAACACCCCTAGACCCTCAGCTTTCAAAATGAATTTGGATCTGACTTACAATAAATATGTGCCAACCCTAGGAACAATTCTGAAGCTGCTAATGAGGAGGTTTTAAGAATAAAAATTGCTCATGTTGACGAAGCAGTTTCTCTGTCAGCCATATCATCGTTGCTTCAAACAAAGCCACTTTCTTACAGAAGTCCTTTGAGGTAGGGTACGTGCTTTTAGCAATGTCACTTAGATTTTCAAAAAAGAGAAAAAAAAAAAAGCCAGGCCGGAAGAGCATCCGTGATCTGTGTGCCCAGGGTCATGTACGCAGCTGGAGGGGGAGGCGGACGCCCCCACCAGGCTGGCTCCCCCTGGAGTCCCACCAGCACACAGGGTGCCAGTGGGGCTGGCTCTCAGGACAGATGCTACAGATCTGGGAGACACCTGTCCGTGCGGGGCGCACTGCTTACACCCGCTGCCGAGAACCTCGATGCACTGTCCCTGTTCATACCCGCACATCTGTACCGGCACAGAGAACCTGCAGGTAAATGAATATACACTTGCTCTGACAGCCATCTCCCTGCCTATGGCCGCCTCGGTGCTCTCAGCCCTTTCCCAGTGGCGGGCTGGGGACACCCTCTGCATTACCAGGGGACTCGCTCAGGGCAAGAGGCCTCCTCTGGTGTGCCGCACCGTTTGAACGGCTCCGCAGTCCCGGCTTTTTGTTAAAGGAAAACAAGCTGACACGGTATAAGGAGCTTTTTTTCCCTCTATAAACGATGGAAAGTTAAAATTAGGTATTTTGGAGAAATTCTGGTGCTGTTTTTCCACCTTCTAGAAGTGCAGTCCAGAAAAACAGAATCTTCATCCCATTCTCCCAGAAACTTCGGGGCGGTTAGCATTGGTTGTTAGCAGTGGTATGCTGGTGGATGTTTAACAGTGGGCTCGCGGGGGGCCAGCGGCGGGGCGCAGAAGAAGAGCCAGGATCATAGCCTTTACCGGTTTCTGTGGGATGAATATTCCCATGTGGCCGATCTCCAGCCACCAAACACGTGATCCCCGAAAGTGCTGTCGGAAACAGATGCTCAGAAGCACACCTTTCCGATATACAGATGCAAGACAGATTAAAAAAAAGAAAAAAACCCTCAAGGAAGTGATGAGTTTTGAGTGGTTACGACCTTTGTTTTTAATGTAATTAGTTGTAAGTTTCTGCAATTTCATTTTGAATAATGGCTGTGTGTAACAACCGGCTCTCGAAATGAAATTTTAACAAGGCAAGTCTGAGCTAGCCCAGCATACCACTGAAATAGTGTCCCAAAGATAGCAAGATCTAACTTTTCCTTATGACGTTTTGGATGTTAAATGAACTACTGATAGCAGCAACCACAACCCGAGGGACCTCGGACTCTCAAAAACAAAAAAGCACATACACCCTTTGAGCATGCCAGGGAAGAGCTTGGGGTTTGTCTTCGACCAATTTAAAATATATTTACATCTAGCCATGATCTTTGAATTTTACAACTTCAACTTATCCTTCCAAACTTCAACTAAAAGTGATCTTCAAACCCAGGCGGGACATGGTCCATGCAAGAGGGGACCGACGGAGTGAAGCGTGTGGCTGTCTTCCTCCTTCCCATCTGGGTGTCCTGGACAGCTCTGACCAAAGGTCCAAACCAGGGAAGAGGAAGGGAACTTGAATATCCATCCCATAAACTTCTAATGATTTGCCCCAGGAGGATCCAGGTACCAGAAGTCAATTTAATCTCTTCTACCCAACCAAGGATTAGTGGAGAAGATCCGAGCCAAGGCATGGGGAGATGCCCCCATGGCCTCCCCCCGCTGTCTGGAACACTTCGGTCTGTGCTGGTGCCCAAGGGCCTGGCGGTCTCCGCCGGGCCCCTTCACCCAGCTTTACCTCTGGTAGCACTCTGAGCTTTCCATCCCTAGGGCTTTGTCCTGGGTAGGAACTACGAGAGAAAAAAAACAGGTAGTGTGGCAGCAACGATTACTTCTGAACGCTTTCCCAGGCTTTTGTTTCTCTACCCCTTCTACGGCTTGGCAGGGAGCCAAGTCCAAAGGCAGATTCCCTAGTTCTGGCAAACCAGAACCGGTAACCATTGGTGGAGGCAGTTTGTTGAGACTAGTGCGGGCTTGGGGAAGAGAGGTTACTTTTTGTCTCCGACGAATAGGGAACTCCATAGGTGTCGCTCCTTGCAAATTCGGCAAACATTTCTCGAACCTGAATGAAGGCTCCTGCTTAGCGCTAGGCTCGGTACCTGCCACCTGGGGAGCAAGGCCACAGCCAAGTGCCAAGTGGGGGCCTCCCATCGCTCTTCTGGGCCTTAAAACTGAGTGGCCGCCTGCGAGAGAGAGGACTACAGATACCTGTTCCACTTTTTTTGTGATTTTTTTTTTTCTTCTATGGAGAGGATGAGGGCTCTGCCTGGGCATGCTCTCTTAAGAACTGACTCCATGCAGAGCTGAAACGCTTGCTGGGGCCTTGAGATCTCTGGGCAGAAAGGCCGGGAGGCAGGGAGGCTCGGGGGTATGAAAATAGCTTTGGGACTCCCCTGCCTGGGGTCTCCAGGAACCGAAACTATTCTTAGGAGGCGTCTCTGCCCTGAAGGAGCTTTCCTTTGCCGCTTGGCCCGAAGGACCTCTTTTTGGAAAAGAAATCTGGACAAAAGTCAAAATCCTAAACTGCAAAGAGATGGCCAATTAGGCTTCTGGGCCGCGTTCCAGCCGAGGAGGCAGACTCTGCCTTTCAGGGCTCCGCACGGGCTGGAAAGAGATTCTTGGCCCGTGGTCCCTTGGCTTGGTGGGACGCAGGAAGCCAAGTTCACAATCCATGCCCCTCTCCTCCTGGAGAAGGCATGAGTCAGCCTATCCCATTCCCTCCTGCCCTAAGCGTCCAGCGCACACAATTGCACGGCAAAGCAGGAAGAGGGGGAAAGGAAGCTGTAGAAAAATAAACATTTCCTTGCATTTGACTTGGAACAGAATAGCATTCGTGGCAAGCTAAGATCTAGGGCATCTCTCACGGCTCCCCCCTCCCCCCGGTTTTCCTCCTCTTGTGTAGACACAGATTCTTTCCTTACCTGATGAGAGTTCAGGATGCATCCTGTGGAAAAACAGGAGCAAGATATAGAAGGTGAAAGCCAGGCAACCAAAGATCACGCCGCAGACCAGGAAACTATGGCTGCCCTGAGCTTGGAATATCTGCCAGAGGGGAGAAAAGACACAGACCGTCACACCATCGCATGAAAGGGGGGCAGCAGGAAGCAGGTCTCCCTGAACCCCCGCAGGCTTCTTAGTCGGGCTGCAGACCCGGCACACCACCCCGATGGGCAGGTCATGGGCGGGAGGGCCATCTTGGCCTCGCTTCAAGGTTATGTTTCTGGAGGAGGCAGAAATCCTGCTCTGAGGCAGGGGCTGGATCCCATGACCCCTGCTGTCCCTGCTGGCTCTTGTCTGGGATCTTCTGGAAATCTCCATCTCTTCCTTAAAAGTCTGAGCATAGGGTTTCTCTATGCACAAGGCCTAGCCAGACTTTGCAGAGGATTTTATGGGTGTCCCTTTATCATGGAAAATGTAAAGCAGAGGCCGAAGGAGCTTATAGAGCTCCCAGGGACCCATCACCTGACTTGAACAATTAGCACCAACTTCCTCTGTACTCCCCCTCCCCGCCCCACTTCTTCCCTAGATTACACTGAGGCAAACCCCAGACATCACGTCATTTCGACGCAGCCCTTCCCCCTCCGGGCAGGGTACCAGAAGAGAGAAGGAGGGCTGTGATTAGGCCATGTGGGAGACGGAGAGACCTAGGCTTGAGCATCCTGTTACTTATTAGAAGTCGGACTGACCGAGGGCAAGTTGCTAATTTACCTGACCTTCAGTAACCCCCTTTGGAAGAAGGACAATGACAATTATATCAATATATATGCCTTATACTCTTTAATAAATAACAGATTTTTGTCCCCCTGGTGAGCAGATGAGACATGGGTCTATCTGAAGAGAAGTGGGAGGGCTGGCCCTTGATCGGGGCGGGACTTGGGCAGGACAGCTGGGCCCCGTGGAGGGTGGCCAAAGGCTAGGAGAGGTGGGGTGGGGACAGTGGAATGAGAAGGGGAGGGAAACGAACTCCCTACTCCATCAATCCCATCCCAGGCTCTGGGAGCTAACGAACGTTCCCACGGGGCCCCGCTGGCCGCGCTCCCAGACAGGCCTGGTGTTTGCGTTGGACCGGACCATCCATGCCTTCCCATCTCCAAGTCCCACATTCGGAAGCTCGAGCTTTCAAAGCTGGCTCGGAGGCACAAACAGGTCACAGAGGGGGCCCTGCCTGCCGGGTGGGACCCTCAGGGAAGGGACAGCGGCTGGCTGCAGCCTCCCACCCGCTCGGAGGGGCCCCCCCAAATGCTGGCCCCTTCCCTTCGAGCTTCCCCACATACCGAGCCAACCAGCATCTGGAGAACCATCTCGCCAATTCCGGCCCCCGTCACCAGCACCGTGGTCGCACAGCCTAACCCGAAGAGAAGGGTTTGGGTCAGTAAACGCAAATTAAAGAGACAGAAGTCAGCTGGTATAACCCCAGTTATTTCTGGGAAGACTCCGGGAAATGGTGCGACGGCCTGAGAAGACTACTTCGAATTTCTCAGATTTCTCACACTCTGGCCCTTAACTTGGCTGTAGGAGTGCTTGGGTCCTGCTGTCACGATGTTTTCATGGTTCTAGAACCTTGAAGTCCTCAGGTTTACCTTGGGGGCGAATTCCAAGTTGCTCAGCCTGGCATTAGGAAGGGTCCTTCCCAATTTGACTGCCACCTGCCTTTCCAGAAAGCTTTCTTGACCTGCCCTGGGCAGACGGATGGCCTCCCTGCCCCGACACCGAACTGATGACCCCACCTCTGCTCCCTCCGGCAACATGGCACAGACCTTCCAAGTCCAAGCTTCCCAGTCGGGCTCAGGCCCCGGGCCCCGCGGTGTCAGCTACTAGCCTTGTGACCTTAGGCCCGTTCTCTCCCTTCTCTAGGCCTCAGTTTCCTTCTGTAAAATGGGCACAAACACCTCCACAGGGTTGCCCTCTGGGAGGTCCTATGCAGTACAGGGACGTGCTTAGCCTCGTGAGGGTGCACAGCGAACCCTGGAGACCCCACCAGCTGTCAGCCTCACCCATTCAACGCTGCCTTCAGGATCAAGTTCCCAGGCTTTCGTGGGGTTTGCAGGGCCCTTTATAACCTGTCCCTGCAGAGAGCTCAGCCACCTCTCACCCCTGCTCACGATCTCGCTTAGTGGGTTTTGAATAAAACAGAGATCATCATTGTCAACTATGGGCATCAAGGTCTTCTTGCAGACTGTCTTGTATTTGTTTCTCTCTCTGCCTTTGCTGTCACCCTGTTCACCGCCCCCCACCTTTCCCTGGAATGCCTTTCCTTTCTCCTTCTGCCTTTCCGGATCCTGGGCCAGCTCCCATCCCATCAACTCCGTGAAGCTGTGTGTGGATTCTACACTGGTCACTCCCTTCTCTGAATTCCAGTAGCATCCACGTCTATTCTACTCATTCACTCGAAAACCTTCTAGTACTTTCTGTGCGTCAGGTGCCGAGCTGAACACCAAGAGGACTCAGGGGACTAGAGTTAACATGTAGATCGAGAGGCGGTTAAGCTGCTAAGTCAAGTGTTCTACATTTCCTCAAATGCACAAACAATCCTCCAGGTAAGTATGTGCGCCCCTTTTGTAGATGAGAAAACTGAGGCTCAGAAAGGGGAAGAAAAGGGAATCGTACAAGATCACAAAGCCCGAAAGTGTGCAGGCAGGACTGACGTTCCAGGGCCCGCAGGGAGCATGTCATCGAAGAGAGGACACAGATACAGAAGCTGAAGCAGGTACAAAGGGGAGGGGTACAGCTTTCCAGGGGGAGTTCAGAGAAGCTTCCAGAAGGGGTGGGCACTCCGGGCAGAGAACAGCAGGTCATTCACCATGGCTAGCATGCAGGCCCTGAGAGGCAGCGGGACGGGAAGAGGCGTGAGAAAGGAAAAGAGCCCCCCAGGAAGTCAGGAAGACCGTGGCCGGCTCTCTTTCGCAGGAAGCCCTCCGCAGCAGTGCGGGGGATGGCCTCCCAAGTGGTCCCAGCCCGGCTGCACTTCAGAGCCTCCAGCGGCTCTGGATCAAACGTTGTGGAAGTGCTCCAGGTGACTGTAATGTGGGGGCAGCACTGAGAACCACTGAGGGAGGCAAACGCGAAGGGGACAGGCCAAGACCTGCCAAGGCAGGGAGGCAGGCCATCAGAAACTGGGAAAAGCTGGGCACTGTGGAGGATTCCAAGCAGGCACCTGCTGGGAAAGGCCTGAACTAAGGCAGGGATGGCGAGAGAGGAGAAAATGGATTTGAGAGATCATTGGCAGGCAGAATCAACCAATACCAACTGGTGTTATTATTACTGTTATTCCATTTGGCTTAGTTCATTCATTAATTTCTTTTTAAGTAGGCTCTGCGCCCAAGCAAGGTGGGGCTTGAACTCACAACTCCGGGGTCAGGAGTTGCATGTTGTACGGACAGAACCAGCCAGGAGCTCTCAGACTCTAACACCAGCTGACCACTTAGAACTCTGGGATCTTCCGTGTGACATGGGATATCCACGTTATTTTTCTGCGTCATTTACTCACTTGGGGTTTGGAGATCATCCTTAAATTTCAAGGACCCAGGCCACCCATCTCTTGTTACTGTGGGTAGCTGAACTGGTCTTGGCTCTATGACTCTGCCCCCACCCCCCAACCCCACCACTCCTCCCCTAAAGAAATCACTCCTCTTTGACGTTGGTTTTCCGATACCCTAGGGCACTCTAGTGGCTTCTACGGGTAACGTTAAGTGTTCAAAACATAATTATTTTTAATTAACTCATTTTAAGAAAAGATATTTTGCTGTATGCAGCTGGGAGGCTACAGAAAGAGGAGGGAGATTAGTGGAGAGAATTTGAGGTTTCTGACATCAAAGAAGCCCATCGTCACAACCCCAAGTCAAGTGCAGAGCCTCTGTTCCACTCCTCTAGGCTTCCAAAAACACCCAGAAGCACAGTGGAGCCAGGAGGTGCTGTCACTGAGCAGTGATCAACCCCTTTCCAATGCCATCACTGCCCTGGTCTTGGGACTCGGAATTTCCAGCACAGCCATGATCGCCAGCTGCGGGTCAGTAGGCATTACCACGGGAAACAGAAAATAGGAAAGAGAAGCTTACTGCTTCTCAGGGCCCCGGAGTCAGGGGACCCAGGTGTAAGGCTGCATGGGGGAAGCCACGTCGGTCAGCGCAGGCCCACCTGTGTAGCGGCTCTCAGCCCAGTCCGGAGGTTGGGGGGGGGGGCCTGCATTTCGGGGAGGGGGTAGAGCAGCGAAGGAGCCGGAATATACCACGGAAAGGGGGCGGGGAGGACGTGGCACCCAGCCAGGGAGGACGCTCGGGGCTCTGCACCCCTGCCCACCCACCTTTGTACTGCAGAATGTCCTCCGTGTAGGCCAGCATGCTGGGGAACGTGCTGCTGAGGAACAGGCCCAGGCTGGCTGTCCCCACGAACAGGAAGGCGACGTTGTAGGAGAACACGAGAAACACCAGGAACGTCATCACCACGCCGACCTTCGACAGCAAGGACGGAGGCTGTTAGCCATTGGGAAGAGCGGGGCCTCGGGTTCCTGACTTGGAAAGGGCCACGCTGACCCCAGGGCGGCGCTGTGTGACCAGGACGCCTCCCTGTGGACTCTGTGGGAACTGCACCTTCCCCAGGCTGGGCTCCGCGGAGGAAGCCCGGGGAACTGAACGGAGGGCGGCGGCTGGGGGAGGGGGCGGCGAAGGAGCCGTCCAGACCGCTGGGCAGACGGCTGCCATCACACTCAAGAAGCGCTTGGCGCGGCAGTACCTCCTGTCCCCAAGGTCTTATCTGTGAGCACGGGGACTTCCAGCCAAGCCATCAGCTCTCTGCCCTCCACTCCTCACGAAGACGAGCTGCTTCTCTTGCCCCAAAAGCCGTGAGCTCGCAGAGGAAGCCCAGGAGTAACAGGAGAAGCTGGCAGGGCTGGGGGTGGTAGTACGGGTGGGTGGTGGGGTCCCCACCCTCTGGGGACCCAGGAGGACCTCCCAGGAAGAGGGTCGGTGGCCGTGGCAGTTTTGCTCCCCTCACCCAAGGCTCAGACTCCTGTGACCAGATTCCTGCTTGGTGTTAGAGGTCCCTGGGATGTGGACTCAGGGACCAGAGGTCTTTCTAGTTCAGAAAGGGTCTCTGTCACATGGGCATTGTTTTGTTAAGTCACGCTTTTTCTAAATTCCTTAAAAATGCTTTTATGTCAACATTGAATACTTTCTTTCTTTCTCTTTTTTAAAGTTTTTATTTATTTATTTGTCAGAGAGAGAGTACACACAAGCAGGCAGAGTGGCAGCAGAGGCAGCGAGAGAACCAGGCTCCCTGCCAAGCAAGGAGCCCAATGCGGTACTTGATCCCACGACCCTGGGATCATGACCTGAGCTGAAGGCAGCAGCTTAACCAACTGAGCCACCCAGGCGTCCCAATACTGAATACCTTCTATGCAAAATTCCCGTGGCGGGGGTGGGGGGAAATTCCGCTGGGAAGAAACAGGCAGCTTGGGTCTGGAGGCAGAAGATCCAGGTGTAAGTACCAAGTCTGGGGCTTTGAGGTTCTTGATCTCTCTGATTCTAGGCCCCTAGTCTGCAGAATGGGTTACCAAAGCTCCCCTGGAGAGTGCTGGAGAAATGACAGCAGCACTGGGGCTCTTAAACTGTGAGTCTTCAGACAACGCTCACTCCTAGTATTTGTGTTTTGAGCGTAGAAGATATGTAAGAAACCACCTCCAGCCCCACCCCGACCCTGGCTGATTGACAGATGAAATGAGCCTGGGCACAGGGAAGGGATGGTCACCCTCCCCAGGCAGCTTCCAGGGACGTGCTCCAGCTGGAGGAACAGTCAGCAACTGCCACCCATGAGCGCCCTAGCCTTCACCCTTCTTTACCAGCCCCCCAGTCTCTGTGCAAGATCTCAGTCTCAGACTGTGGCTCAGAGGCCTTGTCAGCCTGTCCCCGAGGGGGTTCACAGCAAACGGCGGCTGATGGAGACACACTCTCTTCACAACGGAGAAGCGAAGCGAAAGACTTCTCTCATGCAGTAAAAATGCGAAAGCAGTAGACATAGTTAAGGTTCCAAATATAATGTATTTCCTTGGCACAGAAAATGGCCCCACAGCCTCACTGCTCTTTCTTCCTCCTCTGCTCAATCTTTCAACGTTGGCGCGGCCCCAGACTCCCCTGGCTCTTCTTTGTCTGCATTTCCTGCTGGTCCAGCGCCATGGTTTCAAATATCTCTATGCCCAGTCTCTTAAACTCATTCCTCCAGCCACGACCTGTGTCCAGAGCTCCAGCCTGGCACGAAATACCACCCCTTTGATGGGTGACTGGCTGGCTGACATGATTGTCCGAACGGAACTTGGCCTTTCCTCCCCCAAACCGACTCTTCCCCCTGCCCCCCAACATCAGTGATGTGGGCGCAGCGGACAGGCCCTGTATCTAAGGTAGTCCTCAATTCCTTATTCCCTCCCCTCCTACATTCAGGCCAGGGCAAATCCTACCAACTCCACCCAAATAAAAGGTAGACTCTTGGACCTCTCCAAACCCATCCTGACCACCCTCATCCGGCCGCAGCCTCTCATGTGTGGACTGCGAGATGGGCTCCTCACCGTCTCCTTCCTTGATTGACTCTCACCTGGGACAGGGGAGTATGTTTTTGAAATACAAAGCAGATCATGTCCACTCCCTGCCTAACACCTACTGAAGTCCTGCCTTACTCCCACTTTGAATAAAACCCCAAACCTGGCTTACAAGGCCTTTTGCAGGATCTAGCCCACGTCTGCTGCCCCAACCTGTCCTCCCTGCTCCCTGTCGCTGACCCTACCCACCATGCTCCCTCCCAGTTACCCAGTTAACTTCACCCTTGGGCCTTTCAACCAGCAGTGGCCTCTGCCCGGACCATTACCCCCTCCGTGACACCGTGGCACTGGCCCCTTCTGGAAAGTCAGTTCCCAACTTGCATGCCTGGGGCAGAACCAGGGCTTTGAAGATGCTATTCCTGGCCCCCCTGCTGCCTGGCCACCCCATTTTCTTTCTTTTTTTTTTTTTTTTTAAAGATTTTATTTATTTGACAGACAGAGATCACAAGTAGGCAGAGAGGCAGGCAGAGAGAGAGGAGGAAGCAGGCTCCCCGCCGAGCAGAGAGCCCGATGCGGGGCTCGATTCCAGGACCCTGGGATCATGACCCGAGCCGAAAGCAGAGGCTTTAACCCACTGAGCCACCCAGGCGCCCCTGGCCACCCCATTTTCAAATCAGATTTGAAATTGCAGGAAATTTACAGGAAAGCCATGAAGAGTCACCCTGAAAATCCCTAGACTTGGGGGAGTTTGAAAAACACCTCTCTTCTTTTAGCCTGGGTGACAAAAGCTTGAGCACGCCCAGGGCCAGCTAGCAGCTCCACCAGGCAGCCCTCCTCCCACGCAGCCTGCTTCCCACCTGCCGGCCACCCTCATCCCGACCCTCCCCTGCCCATCTTCTTCCCTAGCCGAACTTCCCCTATGGCTGTTCATTCACCGGGAAGTGGTCGTGGAGACCCAGGCGAACAGGCGTGACCATGAATTTAAACATGAGAGGACCGCTCGGAAGAAGTCGCAGTGACTATAGGACAGTCACTGGGCAGGTACGGAGCCAGGAAACTCACTCAGGGCTGTGGAATGGTAACCCTAAGGGGGTGCCCACCAAAGGCAGCGGAAAGGCCCTGAAAACGATCCAGGTGCCATGGCTCCTCTCTCTGCACCCCAGTCCGAATCTCTGGGGGAGGGGCCGAATCTGTCTTTTGCAAAAGCACCGGTAATGTATTTGGGAGTCAAGTGCTCTAGGATGGTGTTTTCCCACACTTGCGTGATGACACAAACCCCTGGGGTGTTGGTTAAATATATAGATCGCTAGGTTCCCTCCCCTGGACACTGCGGTTCATGAAGCCTGGGCTGGGCCCAGGAATATGAGTTTCCTTTTAAAAAACCAGTAGTGCAGGTGCGTTTTTTATCATCAATGGCTAAGTCATATGGGGGCTTCAGATGCTCTTCTCCCCCCAGACTCAGAGTCCCACCCCACTGTCCTCTGTCTAAGCAGCTGACCTTGGGTCTCGCAGAGGCTGGCCACCTGGAGCACATGTACCCCGACTCTTTTCCACCCCAGGACCTGCTCCTTCCCTGGCGCACCACCTCGGCCTCCTCCTCACTAAGCTTCACGCTCCCTTCCCCACTGCAGTCTGTCCCCATGCCCACCCCGGGGCCTTCCTCTCTAACAATGGCATCTGCCCAGACCCCTCCTCCCAGGCTTCCTCCCTTTCTCCTCTGCCTACACACAGACTCCTGTCAAGCAGAACTCTCTCCAGCTCAGAAATATTTGCCACAGTCACACCTCCACTTCCTGTCTCCCTCTCCCTCTTGAGTTTGGCTTCTGCCCACACTACCTCCCATCTACGGTGAACGGAAATTTCTTTCTTAGAGGTCATCGACCAGCACAAGGCCAATTATAAGGCCTTTCTTGCAGCTCGTGGTCTCTGGTCTCTGTAGCCCCAGCATTATTTCCTGACCCCCTTTCCGCTGGAAACTCAACGCAGGGAAGTACTTTTTGACAGTGGATTTGGCTACCTGGAAAGGGATGAGTTCCCGGTCACTGCAAGTATGTAAGCAGATTGTGGACCCCTAGAGGGGATGTTACAGACGTGACTGGAGCCCTGGAAGGGAGGCTGGGCTAGATGACCTTACAGGAATCTGTAATCTAGACCTTTCATCATAGATGCTGACATGGACACACTCAGGTCCAAGGTCTGAATGCTTGCGCCCGGACACCCAGCCGTCGAGGCAGGCCAGTTCCCTGAATCCCATCCTACCTTCTAGTCTGGCTACAAAGAATCATCTGGGAGAGTTTCAAAATGCAGATTCTGAGGCTCCAGCCCAGAGATGGTGATTCGGGTGGACATGGGGCTCTGACCAGCTGGGCGCCAAGAGGACACAGGAGGACCAAGGCCTGCAACTGCTTCCGTTGTACCCTTGGCAGGTTGTGCCCTGGGATCTGCTCCATTCACAGCAGTAACCACCTCTTATAGCCCCTTCCTTTTTTTAAGGGTACAAAATCAGAGAATCAGAGAGGGAAAGAGGTTTTACCAAGGTCACACGGAGAGGCTCCACCTTCTGGATTTCCATCCCTTCCTCACCAGCGCCTCTCACTTCTGCTTTCCTCCATCTACTACATTCCTGCTCTGCTGGCAGAGTCCAGTCCTGAGCAAATGTCCTGGGGCAGCAGGGGGCCAGGAATAAATAGCCCTCCTGTGCTTCCAGGAAGTGATAGGAGGCCACTTACCACATTGATGAAAACCATGGTGACTGGCTTCAGTTTGGAAGAGATGGGAATGGAGATGAGCCGACCCAGGGTGATGAAGCCCCAGAAGAGGCTGGGGAGGTAACCAGCCACCTTGTGCCCCACAGAGAGCGGCTTCTCCACTGCATAGCTGTACACAAAGGCTGAATACTCGCCCTGTGGAGAGACAGGCCCTACTGAGCACACCTGCGGGGCAGCTGGACCCTCAGAAAAGGAAACCCAGGGTGGGGGCAGGTGTGCTGAGGGCTGAGGAAGGACTGGTCCTGCTCCTAGAGCCTCAGTCAAAGGGGGGTTTGGAGCCAGGATCGCTAGACACATGCAGGCCTGAGCTGAGGACAGGACCCATGCCATGCCACAGCTTACAGACTGCACCTGTCCTGAAGGGCAGGCCAAGCGAGGCAGTGGCGGGGTTGGGGAGGGGGTGTCTCTGGGTCTCCACAGGGGGCCCCGGGAGGTCTGGGCACGTGGGCACTTCTCCCCGTCCCTCCAACGGAGCAGACTTCCACCACGTGTCTTATTTATGAGGATGCCACAGTTCAGGAAGGGTACCACAGCTGAACAAAAGGGGTGTCAGAGTGTCTCATTTGACAGATGAGGGGGCAGAGAGAAGTGAGCTGCCCAAGGTCACACAGAGAGTTGGAAGTCAACCAGGGCTAGCACGTGTATTTCCCCCTGGGCCATCTGTCTCCTGGGGCCTTCTCTTTGGAGAGACCCTGATATGGCAGTCAGTTAATTCGGTCAGCCGTTCAGAAGGACCCCGACCAAATCCTACGAGACTTCTGAGGACAGACACTAACTAGAGTAGCAGAGGCCCCTGTGGCTCACGGAGCTGGGCCCAGCCCTGCCTGTCACTTGTTTACCACACGGCTTGAGAAGCTGGGGTTTGGAATGTGTTCCAGGAAGCAGAGTGCCCTCGGGTTTACACGGCGTGACCTCTACCTGGAGAAATAGGGCTCTGCCCCTTTACTTATATTTTTTTAAAGATTTTTTTGTTTATTTGAGAGAGTGTATGTGCACAAGCGGTGGGGGGAAAGGGAGAGGGCCAGAGGGAGAAGGAGACTCCCTGCTGAGCAGAGAGCCCGATGTAGGGCTCAGTCCCAGGACCCTGGGATCATGACCTGAGCCGAAGGCAGACGTTTCACCGACTGAGACACCCAAGCGCCCCTGGGCTCTGCTCCTTTAAACAAATGTGGGTAGCCCACCCTTGGGAACAAACCAGAGAAGCCCCTAGCCACAGAGTTAAGGAAAATAAAGACAATGGGCTGGGACAGAAGAGATAGTACCAAGGGGCTGCGAACAATTCTGCAGACGGTCTCCCCCATTTAGCATAAATGTTTGAATCCACTGTACTAGAGGTGAGGCCTTTAGTAAACCACGATGCTTGGCTCTTTCTCTTGCTACCCCCAGCTGGAGTCTCCCGGGAGGAGGGCAGGCTCACCGTCAGCCCGTCGGTCATGAACAGGACCAGGGCCGCTGTGATGTGGATGGCGAAGAAGGAACAAGGGGCTCCTTTGAAATTCTTCCTCTGGCAGCAGCTGAACAGGTCCTTGTGGCCTGGAGGAGACACAAGGATGAGGGTGAGTTTCAGCTCCTGCTCCTTCCCCCCCTGCAGGCCCCGGGGAAGCCGCTGGCAGGTAGAGAGCCTGGCAGAATGGGGACCACGTACGCCTCCCACCTTCTACTAACTTCCACCACCTGTTAGGGACGGCCCTCTCAGTCCTGGTGGAGGCAAGCCTCTGAGCGATCCAGTAACTCGGCCCAGGTCACGCAGGCCGGTCTAGGCAGAGGGGAGGCTGGGGCTGTTGAATGGCAACCCGAACCCGCACGCTTTGGCAGGGTCACTCCAGCTCCTTCTCACCAGCCAGCAGAGCCATGGTTTGTTTCCAGCCACCATTACCCAGGATGGGATCTACGCTCATCCTCCGGGGGAAGGGGACACCAGGGCAGCCTCAGTGTGGGGCTGTGGGCGGCAAAGGTCGTTAGAGCCCCCACCTGGGTGTGGCTGAAACTTTGAGGACAGGGAGGAGGCATCTTCCTTCTCGGGAGGCTGCGTCTCCAGTGCCAGCTCATCGGCAGACAGGAGCAGGGGTGTCCTCTGGGGGCAGCAGGCCAGCAGCCGCTCTTTGGACAGCAGAAACAGCACGGCCAGGGGCACCGGGAGCTGGGGGGTGGGCAGAGGGTCAGGAGAGCCCCGTTCCTGGCAGGCGGGCCCCTTCCTGAGCGTGGCCCACTGCAGACACCACCACACGGTCGAACAGCGAGCGTCTGCACAGTCCTGATGGAAGACAGCTCTTTCCCCGGGGTGTCCACCTGGGAAATACACTGTCCCAGGCCAAGGGTGCCAAGGTGTGTTTACCCAGCGCAGACTGGTTTAATTGTGGCCCAGCCTTAACCACATCCGTTTTCTGGCAGACAGCTCCTTGTCCCACGCCAGACTCGGACTCGTACCAGGGCTCTGGTCCTGGAGAGGGGCCAGAGATAAACTCGTTTCTAAGATCCTTACCCTGAACGGTGCCCCCACACTGCTTCATGCCGGGACATCAACTGACACTTTACAAAGACAGCTTGCTTTTGTTTACCTTGCCCATTTTCCAGATGGGGCGACTGAGGCTCAAATATGACTCAGTCATGACCTGTTGCAATGGGAAGAGATCAGAACTGGAAGCTACAGACCCCAAGAACCTTAGTGCCTGGTCACATGGCCAATGTGGGGCAGAGTGGGAGGGGAGCCTGGGTGCCCTGACTGTGTCCAGGGCCAAGGCCCCCTCGGGGCTTGTCTGGTTGAGGTTATTCTGAGGAGGTACAGAGCCTGTCCTCAGGGGCCTCGTGTCCAAACTGGAAAGCGGAGACAGGCGCTGCTTTTGATGCAGGCTCCGAGCAGCATGCACACACAAGCCCGGTGTTCCGCGTGCGGCTAGTCCCACTAAGCCACTGGGGTTTCGGGAACCCCCAGAGCAATGAGAGGTGTCTCCCGCCTCTGTGGTTGCCTGGAGAAGCCTCCGCCGCCTCCCTCGGGTGCCCTGCCCTCCCCCGCCTCCAGGAAGCTCTTCGTCAAGTCTGACCTCTGCTTCCTGCCGCAGCTTCTTCCCAGTTTCCTTCGCTCAGGAAAGAGAGGAAGCCCCGGGGGGCTGCGGAAGCTCCCCAGAGGCCCTCCCCAGCCCCCCCCCGCCCCGCCCTGATGGGTGCAGCCACTGTGGACGCGGGAGGCAGCAGGGCCCACGTGGCGCCGAGGGGGCCTCCCCGCCCCTGGAGCCAGGCTGGCGCATGGGGGCATTTTCCCAGGGGTGCCCCCTCCAAGAACACCAGCCTAGTGCTGGCCCCTCCCTGCAGTGCTGTCCCTGCAGGAGCCTCCCTCCATACTCGGAGCTGCGTCCAGGCCAGACACGCCACGGCAACAGCACACATCAGGCCCAAGGGGGAGGAGATGACCCCCGCCCTCAGGAGTCCAGGTCTGATGGGGGAGACAAGCCCTCCCTCCAGTCTGATGGGGGAAACAGGAAACCCTCACACAGAGGCCTGCAGCAGCAGAAGGCCTGAGTGAAGGCCAAGGGGAAACAGCTGTCAAGAGCCTGGTCACTGCAAGTGGGGCTTTCCAGGGAGGCACGTGGTGGGAAGGACGACACGGGGGACTGACCCTGCGGAACACTGCCTTTATGAGAAGCCCATTCAGAGGAGGCGAGCTCCACCTTCAAAGTCAGAGAGTGCTGGGTGGGCTGTGCGGGTACGTGTGTGAGTGTGAACATGCATGCCCACAAGCGTGCACGGCCCCATTCTCTTCTGGGCTGGACTGTTTATCTTCAGAAACAAACGAGTATAAAAGTCCGGACATCCTGCAGCTAAGCGCCTCCAGTCTGCACTTCGTGGGGCAACAGAAAACAGACTGCCACTTAAGCTGGACCTTCCGGCCTCCTGGTCCCAGAGTCTTAGCTTCGACATTGTTTGGACAGTGCTCCTGCCCCTCGCAGGCACCCCTTTGGCAGCCACAGGCCCAACGCTGTATTGTTTCCAAAGCAACGATCGGGCATGGGCAGAACATGGAAAGAGCAAGAGATGGGGCCTGGGTTTTGGAGAGCCCCGAGGGAAGATTCCGATACAAGGAAAATTACAAAGGAGAAGAAAGGAAAAATGAGCGCTGACTCTGAGGCAGGAGGAAGGGGGTCTGTGCGGGGATCCAGGGTTCCAGCCCGGCCAGAGAGTTGCTAGCCATGATCCGGTCCTTACTAGCCACCGATGGTCCCAGGGACGGTGTGCCACCCCCGCTTTGCGGCTCCGCAGGACTGGATGATCTCAGAGACCCCATTTAGTGTGACATGTACCCCGTCACTCTGAGGCCCAACAGCAGCTGGGTGCCTGAACCGAGCCTGCCTATCCCTGGAGGGGGGACAAGTCTGCCCGAAGCCAACGGAGGCCCTCAGTCATGATAAGCCATCTGGTCCTCCGCCCACAGTCAGGCAAATGGCGCCCTGGAGTACTCCATCGGCACCCCCAGCCCAGGCCGGGCCCCAGCCAGGAGGCCTGGTCTGCTGCTGGTGTTCCTGACGGTGCTTCCCCAGCTGGAGAGAGGGTAGGGGTGCCTCTGGCCACAGCCTGGGCTCCTCTGGGAGAAGCTGTTGCAGAGCACCAGGGGTTTCTAGCCAGAGACAATCAGGCTGATGGGGAGGACGGCAGCTGGGGAGCAGAGCGGCCTTAGTAACTGACCCAGTCACCGTGAGTGGCCTCTCCATTCTGCTCTGTGGCAGCCTTGGTGTAGGCAGGACCCTTCAGAGGTCATCTCGTCCATCCCCCAGCCTCCGCAGGAGCCCACCTCACACCAGGGTGCAGGAGAATCCCACCAACGATTAAGGGCCCTGGGGAAGAGCCTGACATCATACAGGGCTCTGCCCCTGGATGTGCTTTGTCTGGCCTCGGAGGAAAAGAGCTGGTTTCCCATGGAGTCTCAGATGGCTTGAAAGTTGACCCTGATTCCATTGCGCTAAACCTGCTCACGGCTTTATCTCCCTTGAGATCACAGTCATGGATTGTCCCCAGCAAGGACCTTTGAGATGACCTCCTGTGACCCCCCTTTGCCTTCAGATACCTCCCCGGTGGGGGTCAGTTTTCCCATCCCCTTGCCTTCCCACAGGTCAGCACGTTGCTCATAATCAGAAGAGTCTACCCTGGGAGCTGGTATGGACTGGTAGGTGTGACTGTCCACTTGTCCCCACCCAGCCCTCCCCTCGTGGCACTCACATTGATCAGGGCCATGATCCAGAAGGCGTATGACACACGGGTCCCGGCTCTGTCCTGCGGAGGCATCTTGGAGAGTGACTGGTTGGACAAACGCCACACCTCGGCATGGTGCTGGCCCAGGACCCTGGACGCGTGGAACAGGTGACTGCCAGAGGTGCTGTTGGCTGTGCCGTTGGCAGGCAAGCAGTTGGCCTCAGACAGGAAGGGGTCGGCAATCAGGGGGCTCAGCAGAGCACCGAAGCCCACAAAGAAATGGAGAACCTGAGGAGCGAAGAGAAGTGGCAGGGGTAGGGGGGATGGCTCAAGCTTCCTAGCCCATCCCCCACTTTGTGCCCCATCTGGTGCCCATCCCCCACTTTGTGCCCCTGCCTGGTCCCAGAGTGGGGGAGCAATAGGAAAGCAGGAGAGGTGAGGAGAGATGTTCCTCTCCACGACCTTCTTGGTCTGGGAGAACTTGGGTGACAGTGGCCATTCTCCTCCCTCCCACTTCCTTCTTTCCCAAATCTTAACCACAACTGGGGGCTGGCCCCATGATAACATCTACCAGCTAACACCCCCATAAGGATGGGGGCTTGATAAAGGGCAGAGCTGGACAGGAAGGGAAATACAGAGAGGGGGAAGGAGTCGAGAAAACAACAAGCCCTCTCGTCTTGCCATCATAGCACTCTCGGGTTCACGAAGAACCTCTTCTGGGGGGGCGCCTAGACTCCCGTGACCACCCTGCACACAGGGAGCATGACCGCCTTTGAGAGAGGAGGAGACCCAAGTCCAGAGATCATGACTGGAAGTGGCCACACTGCACTGAGTCCCCAGGTCTCCTACCGCATCACCAACTGGCCTAAAGTAAAAGACACCTAGCCCCGGGGAGGGGCCCGGGAGAGGTGGCCAGGGCCCAGGGAGCACCCCGTGGCCTCCCACCACCCAGCCCCATGCCCACGAGTGGACTCACCTGGAGGAAGACGGCCGAGTCCTTCTGGTAGATCCTCACCAGCTGCATGTTGGCCACGGTGTCGATGCAGCCCATGGCCAGGCCCGCCAGCGCCATGACTGAGGCCAGCACCTGCACGTCTCGGCATAAGGGGATGATGGCAAACACCAGCGAGATGGCCAGCGTGGACGTGAAGAGGGCCCATAACGACTGGGCCAGGCTGCAGGAGTAGAGGCGTGAGTCAGGGGAGGGGCCCTGGGTTCTTCAAATACAGAGCCCCCTCCTTGTCCTCCCCCCGCCGGGCAGCCTCGGGGATGCCTCTGGTAGAAGAGGGGAGGGGGCTGCGGAAGAAGCTCTGTCATTAGCTTGGAGCTTGCAGATGCGATGTCCCTTGTGTCCCCCGTCTTCTCGGGTTGCAGTCCCTGCCGCACAGAGGCGGCCCAGGATACGCACTCAAGGAAGTGTAACTGCTCCTGTTTCACGTACAAGCAGTTTTAAATTGCTTAGGTAGAGGGGTGCCTGGCTGGCTCAGTCAGTAGAGTCGTGTGACCCTTGATCTTGGGGTTGTGAGTTTGAGCCCCACGATGGGCGGAAAGAGGACTTAAAAATAAAACCTTTAAAATAATAAATGAATAGTTTACTCATAAACTATTATACACAGAGGTCTTTCGGTCTCTCTCATGGATGTGTGAGGGGCATCTGATTTGAGTATCCCAAGGTACTGTGCCATATTCGGGGAAACTGTGGGGGTGGGGCCTGGGGTGGAACCCGAACCTCTCCCCTCCCCAGCAGGGCTGCAGTGCGCTCTCCCCACACAGGAATGGCCAAAGGGCCCTTCACAGGCGCCAACTAAAACCACCTGAACCAAAGCCCGCAGCCAAAGTATTTGGGTAACTTGGCACCTTCCTCCACCCCATCCCCATGGCCCTTGGGCAGAGATCTTGGCTCTGCAAGTTTCTGGAATGGAGTCCCTGTGGCTGTCCCCAGTGAGAGGTATCTGGGAGGTTGACCTTCCTGCAGAAGAGCCCACAACAGGCAGGCTGAGTCCTGTTCCCCTCAGGAATGAGGGGAAGTGAATGGAACACGAGTGAGCGAGTGAATGGTATGTCTTAGGGCTCCGTCAAGATCACGTTGGTACGCCCTACCCAATAACCAGACTCTGAGAAAGGAAGGATGTCTAGTGTTTTCTGGAAACACTCTTTAAAGGCTAATGTGGGTGAAGGACATTGGGTGGGAAGAAGGTTCTGGGGATGCCTGGCTGCCTCAGTCCGCAGAATGTACTACTCTTGATCTCAGAGTTGTGAGTTCAAGCACCACATTGGGCATAGAGCCTACTTTTAAAACAAAAGAAGAAGAAGAAGGTGGTTCTGGAACAAAGAGGTTATAACAGAAGATTTTCAGATTATGAAAAGTTCTGGCAGCTGGACCTGGAGAGGTGGTAGGGGCACGTGGTAAGAAGACCTGGGGTTCCAGCACATTAAGGAAAAGAGGGAGGCCCCGGGAGAGCTCTCAGCTATGTCTTTCCCTTGAAGGTCATGCCTCTGCCCCCTCTGGCTCTCTGCTTCTCCTTTTGGTCCATCTTTGATTACTTCCTTTATCAGAAGGCCTCTGCCGATAGCACTAGTTCATTACTTCCTCTTTTCTTGTTTCCAGGCTGATCTGCTGGGGAGATCACTGATCATGACCCCTGTCTGTTCCCAACTCTGTGTGAGCAGGAAGATGCGGACTCCGGCCACACTTCACCCCAGCCACTAGAAGGAGGGCCAGGAGGGTGGTGTCGTGGGGAGGCTTGCTCAGGTCTCTCCCGGGCCCCCCTTCCCCTGCTGACAGCTTGGGGGACCCACTGAGCTTCGTGCATTTCTGCCTCTGCAACCGGCCTCGAGTCTCCCTTCGCTCCCTGGCACCCGGCGCAGAGGGGATGCCCATGTCTCCACGGGTGATGAACGTGGCAGGCTTCTCATGATTGCTCACTCTCTCTTTCCCGTTCCTTTGCCTGCACAAGATGAACCCGGCAGCCTCCTGGCTGGCCTGACTTCAGGGATAGCAAGAAGGTCCCCCTCTCCCCCTCCACTATTCTCCCCATTGAGCGCGCACACACGGGGTGGGGTGACCTCTCCACCACCTCGCTCACCACTCTGCAGTAAAGCGTGGACGCTGCAAGTCAAGGGCAGACTGTCGTGAAGAGGTCACACGTTATCACTGTGGCCCTGAAAGACCCAGACGAATGTGGCTAATGACCAGCCCTGTAGGGGCCCCGGGTGGCTCAATCCGTTAAGTGTCCACCTTCAGCTCAGGCCCCGATCCCGGGGTCCTGGGGTCGAGACCCCGCTTCAGTTTCCCTGCTCAGTGGAGAGTCTGCTTCCCCCTCCCCCTCTGCTCTCCACCAACCCCTGCTGGCTCGTGCTCTCTCTCTCAAATAAACAAATAGAATCTTAAAAAAACAAACAAACAAAACAGCCCTGTGAGAATGGGACGTCGGGATCAGCAAGTGAGCGTGGCCAGGAGAGCTGTGGGAAAAGAAAATGACAGCCAACCTTTGCTCACAGGCCCAGGGTGGTCGGCTTTGCGATGGTGCCTGCTGGATCCACACGTAAACTAGGACTGAGAGAGTGTGAGAAAGCAGCCGAGGGTCTGGACTCGAACCCAGGTCTTCATCTTGGTAATTCCTAGGCCACGCTGCGCTTCCGTGGAGGACAGAGAGAGGGAGAGGGAGTGTGTGTGTGCGTACAAGGGCTGGTGCTGGGCCACAGACCCGGCTGGGAACCAGCGGGAACAGCTGTGGTGACGTGCCCCATTTCCTGGGGACGGCTGTGGCACAGGAAAGCCTGTGTCTCCACCCCAGCAACGGCCTGCCCTCCTCAGCTGCTTCAGCAGGGCTGTGCCTGGGCATCCCAAAACCCAGCCTGAACACATTTCTTGAGAACGGCGTACTGCAGGCAAGGGAAAAGAAGTCCCAGATACATCCCGGAGCCAGACTGAAATAGACTAATTGGCTCAGTCACTTAATGGTTTGGTCAAAGGCCCCTTCCAGGAACGTGGGTAATTGAAAATTATGGAATAATAACGTCAAAACGGCTTTGGCAGCACAAATGTAGTAGGATGTATAATTGGACTAGCATACAGAAATGTCCAATCACTATGTCGTGCACTTGAAACGGATAAAATACGAATGTCGACTATACTTCAATTGAAAATTAAAAATTTAAAAGAAAAAAAAAAAAAGACTGGTCCTCCTAACCCTCCACTTTCCAGCGGCGGCTCAGGGCAAAGCATTTACACACAGTCCCTCTGAGCTTGCAGGGGTGAATACTTAGCTCCTTTATGAATGCGGACGGTAAGCTCTGTCTCCTGCAGCTGCTGTGCATGTGCAGTCAGTGTGATCTTACAGTCTTTTTTTGCTTGCTCCCTGGGATCTTTCTCTGGCCACTGGCAGCTCCCTTCCCCAGTGCTCACCTCCTCCCTGCCAGGAGAGTGTGCTCAGCAGCTCCCGGATTCCCCAGCCAGGCGGGGGCCGCAGAGCCTGCTGGTCTGGGGTGACCGTGGGAGGTCAGTTCAGGAACTGCTACAGTGGCAGCAAGGACCTACCCCTCATTTTATAGATCAGGAGCCGAGCCCCGACAGGGGAAAAGAGTCAGGATCCGGTTTTCTGACTCCTAGTCCAGGTGAAGGCCAGCATTGTGTCGTTCCTTGATCCTCCCTCCCCTGGTCCTGAGTTCAGAGGTTAATTCAGGCCAGTGAGAGAGGGGGTCCCACTTCCCTAAGGCCTGGGGAGATGCAGGAAGAGCTCAGAGAGTTTAAGGAACCCTCCCTCAGGAAGCTTGAGAAATGGCCAGGTTACTCATTGATGGCTCCATGTAGAAGGTGAAATGGGGGAGGGAGAGCCTCGTGGCGCCTGCCCCACCAGTCTGCTGTGTGACCTTGGGCAGGCTGCCGACCCTGCTGGCCCAGGTGCTCTGCTTTACCCCGAGGATACACGTGATCACCTTGACTTGGCCTTGCCAGGGTGTTGGCTCTGGCCCTCCCGGTTCCATGATAAGAGGAGGGGCTGCTTGGCTCCCAACCAGGGGAAGGGCTTAAGCAGTAGGACAGGAGCCAGCCCAGCCTGCTCTCCACGCCCACCGGTGGTGAGAAATGCTGCTGAGGACCAGCCCCTTGCCACCGCGACGTGAGGGACCCCAGGCTGGGCACTGCTGTGCCCACAGTCTTGCCTCAGGACATCCCCACCCTGATAATCTTCTTCCTGGAGGACCCAGGGAAGAGGAGAAGCGCCCGGAAGCCAGAAAGAGTCAGAGGCATCCCCAGGTCCTCCCCACGCCGAAAGGAGCTGGCAGCTTCCAAGAGAAGAATGGGCTTGGGACAAAAAAACAGGAGTCAGGGCATCTCCTGGGATCTTGGGCAGGCTGGAGACCGGAGCTCAAGCTGCCCAACGGGGAAGGGATGACCCAGACAGAGGGGACCAGGAGAAGGCCCCCCCTCTAACCAGTCATTCCCACAATGACAACCCAGCTTGCTCAGGGCCCTGTGTTAAGGCTCGGGAGACTCAGAGGGAGCAGCAAGAAAGCCTGTCTTTGGGGAGATCCCAACCTAAGGCAGGACTCAGGGCCTGTTGGTGCTGCTGCACCCCGTGTGTGACCACACCCCTGGTCTGCTGGGGAGCTAGCCTTGCAGGGAGCACTTCCCGGCTTTGGATGGACTTGTAGCTCCTTATGCCCAGAACCCTCTCCTCCAGTTACTCGAATGCATGGTTCCCTCCTGGCCTTCAGGCATCAGCTCAAATGTCACAGCCTCAGAGCAGCCTTCCCTGACCCACTGGTAAAAGTAACCTCTCAACTCTGTTACGCTCCAGCCCCACCCTGCTTCCCGTCCTCTGGTTCACTGATGGGGGCTCCGGAGCGTAAGCTCCATGGGAGCGGGGACCTTGTCCATTGTGTTCACCCCTGCAAACGGGGTCTGGCTCAAAAGATACTTGTTGGATGAGTGAATTAAGGGGTGGGATGAGTTGTGAAACCTTTGCACTTCAAGATTCTTTTTTTTATTTAAGAAACGGAGACAGTGGGTTAAAGCCTCTGCCTTCGGCTCAGGTCATGATCTCAGGCTCCTGGGATCAAGCCCTGAATCGGGCTCTCTGCTCAGTGGGGAGCCTGCTTCCTCCTCTCTCTCTCTCTGCCTGCCTCTCTGCCTACTTGTAATCTCTGTCAAATAAATAAATAAAAGTCTTAAAAAAAAAAAGAAAAAAGAAACGGAGACAGGGGTGCCTAGCTGGCTCTGTCAGTGGAGTGTGCAACTCTTGATCTCAAGGCTGTGGGTTCGGGTCCCACATGGGGTGTAGAGGGTTTAGAGCTTACTTAAAAAAAATAAATCTTAAAAATTTTCTGAGATAATTTACATACCACAAAATGCATCTCTTCAAAGTATATGATTCTGTGGTTTTTAGCCATTCAGAGCTGTGAAGCCGTCCCTACCATCTGAGTTTAGAACATTGCTCTCACCTCAGAGAGAAACCCCATACCCACAGGGCATCCCTTGCACCATTCCTTTCCCATATGCTGGGAACCTACCACTCTACTCTCCGTATCAATAGATTTTCCCTTTCAGATTTTCCCTTTCCCTTTCACAGAAATGGAACCATACAGCACGAGGTCTTTTGTGCCTGGCTCCTTCCCCTTAGCATTTTGTTTTCAAGTTTCCCCCATGCTGTAGCGTGTGTAAGAACCTTGTTGATTTTTCTGGCTGAATACCACCCCGCTGTGTAGGTGTACTACATTTTGTTTGTCCGTCCATCCACTGATGAACATCTGGTTGGTTTCTACTTTTTGGCTATAATGAATAATGCCGCTATTCCTGTACAAGGTTTTGTGTTGACATGTTTTCAGTTCTTTGAGGCATATACCTAGGAGTGGCACTGTGGGGTCGTATGGTAACTCCCAGGCTGAGATGAGTTTCTTTCTTTCTTTCTTCTTCTTTTTCTTTCTTTTTTTTTTTTTTTTAAAGATTTTACCCATTTTGACAGAGAGAGACACAGTGAGAGAGGGAACACAAGCAGGGAGAGTGGGAGAGGGAGAAGCAGGTATCCTGCTGAGCAGAGAGCTGGATTTGGGGCTCGATCCCAGGACCCCGGGATCATGACCTGGGCCGAAGGCAGATGCCCAATGACTGAGACACCCAGGTGCCCCACTGAGATGAGTTTTTTAAAGCAAGAATCACGACTGGGGCCAGACCCCCAGGAGGCTCTCAGTCCAGGTTTGCTGCATGCTGAAATGTGGACAAGCTGCTGGAGAGAGAGGCAGAGCCTTTCTATATGAGAGACCACCCAGGGCACAGTTCAGAGGATGAAACTGGCTTTTGTATTGTGTTGCAGGTGCTTCAGGGGGCCAGCGCCTTGGGGAAGCAGGTTTGACGGTGGCCTGGGAAACCCCTCCATGGAAGGAAGACTGGATTTCATGCAAGGGGCAGGAGGGAGTGAGAGCTGGGTCTGGGGCAGGGCAGGACTTGCAGGAGTGGGAAAATTAGAGGTAGAGAAGGAGACCGTGAGTATGGCAGAGGGGAAGAACTCTAGCCTTCAATTAAGAGTGTGCATGCAGGGGAGAGAGGCCAAGGTGAGGCTGGGAGAAGGACAGGGAAGGTCTGAAAGCCATTTATCTACCCTGATGCCTTTGAGATAAAGGGGTCTCCCAAACTGCCCAAGGTGGTTAGACAGGTCCCCAAGAAACCAGGAAGAAAAACCCCTAACCTTTTATCTAAATACCCCTTTCTCTTTCCTATCTGACAAAGCACATACCTATATACCCTGCCAACGGGGTGACTTTGTGTTCTCGTCTCTGAATGGCTCCTCGCTCCCGATAAGCAAGATATTTCTCTCTCTCTCTCTTTTTTTAGATTTTTATTTATTTATTTGACAGAGAGTACAAGCAGCGGGAGCAGCAGGCAGAGGGAGAAGAAGCAGGTTCCCACTGAGCAAGGAGCCTGATGTGAGGCTCGATCCCAGGACCCCAGGTTCAGGACCTGAACCGAAGGCAGAGGCTTAACTGACTTAACGGGGGCAGGGGATGAGGGGTGGTAGGGGGTCCTGATCCTACCCTGAGCAGAGAGCTCCTGTCCTGTCCTGTCCGACTCTAACATCCAAGGCTGTTCACATGTGGACCCTCCAATGCATGTCCCTGCGGAGGCATCCAGAATCCCTCTTCAGCCCTGGTCCTCAGTCTGGGCCAAGCAGTAGTCAGCTCTTGACTTGGAGCTGCCCCGTGCCGTGCCTCTCGGGGAGTCCGTCCACAACATCTGGCTCTCGCCATGTGTCAAACCAACCCCTCCCCCATGTCTCACCAGTACCAGCCTGGAGCACTAGCACTAGCTGGTAATCACTTAAGCTGAAAAGTGTATGGGGGTTGGGGTGGGGGGTACTAGCATCTGAACTTGCAGTGAGGGCCCACAGAGTTAAGCTTTAGTGGTTGATTTCGGGGCTTTGTTTTGAGAAATTGGGCATTGTGACAAGCTGTCAGGTCCAAGCTGGGTAGTGACTCCCGTGGACACACAAACCACCCCTGTTGCCACACCTTTCATTCCCACTGAAGTCCACTCAGCTCTTAGCCAAAGGGAAGGGTTCTTCCTGACATTTTCTTTTGGGGGCAGGAGGACTGAGGTCGCGAATTTAAATGTGAACTTGAACTGATAGGACGTAATGCCCTCCACCGCACCCTACCCCCACCCTCAGATCCCAGCAGGAAGCCCCAGAGGCCCTGGGTTTCCTTCCCAGGAGTGTCAGCTCAGGAATCCGCAACCCATATGTCTGTGTCTGGAGAGGACAGGGTGTAACTTGTGCCCTACACAGTTCACGCTGACTGCTGATGAAGCAAGAGCCATTTCCCACGCATCTGCTTCTAGAGACGAATGCCTGTGTTCAAATCCTGACTTAAACGGCGGTGTGGTATGACCTGGGGCAAGTGTCTTGCCCTCTCTGTGCCTCAGCTTCCTTATGCACAAAATAGGGAGAAAATAGTACTAATCCGTAGGGCTGGGGGGAAGACAAATGTCAGTACAAGTGAGGTACAGAGAACAGTGCCCGGCCTTGAGCGACAGTTCGGTGAAGTTAGTTATGACTGTTACCAATATCATTTTTCTTTCCCCGAGAGCCCCAGGACCCTTTCCACTGCCTGCTCAGAGCTCCTGGTTGGGGAGGGAGCCGTGAGCGAGGTGTGGAGCAAGTGAGGGAGACAGGGCCCAGCTGGGTGTGGATCTCTGTTGTTTTCACAAAACCTGGCTCTTCAACCTGCGGTTTAGAATAATCCTCATTCCCCCTTCCTGTTCTTTGCACTTACCCTAGGTCCTAAAAAATTCCAGGTAAGGGAGCTTTTGTAAGTCAAAATACTTTTTAAAAAGAAAGAAGGAGAAACAGAAAAAACACCCTTCTAGATTTCTAATTAAACCTCGAGGCAGAATCAGGAAGGATCTTGAGATTTTTTTGAAGATTTTCTATATCCCCCATGCATCCAATCTTATATAAAACCCACAGAAAAACCAGCGTACACAAGACTTGCTTCTTCAGAGGAGGATTCTTCCATTTACAAGAGAATTTGATAATGGGGCTAATCACACCCTAATTGGTAATGATTTGTCAGCTGGGTGCCTAAAAGTGGGGGTCTATCTATGTGACACCTGCATTCTCTCCATCAGCTCCAGAAGCAAGGTGGATAGGAAAACCCACTCTCATGTGGAGGAGTGAGCCAAGGGGGGGGAGCAACTGGCCCAGAAAGCATCCCCCCCCCCCAGATGTTTCTCTGGGATAGCCTAACTATGGTTTTGTTCCTGGCCCTCCGCTTGCCTGAGTCCGTGCAGTCCAGAAAACGAGCCAGCCAGGAGCTGGGGCTAGGGACATCTCCAGCAGTCTCCAGCTTGCAAGTCATCTATTCCCTGCTTTGGGTCTGTTTTCCCAGCTGCACTAGGAGAGCGAATCCTGCTGCCTTTCCAGAGGGCTCTGCGGGGGCGGCCCTGTCCAATTTAAGGCCGGAGACTAAGGCTCTGCAGAAGCATACAAAGGGGCATCTCTGGGGCCATGGCAGGCAGAAGCTAGAGTTCTGCCCTGGGACAGAGATGGAGGAGGAGTAAGGCCGGGTGGGAGAAGTGGAGGGGTCTCCTGGCACCAGAGATGGAGGGTCGCCTTACCAAGGTGTGCCTGAGACACCCCACGCCTCCCCCACATGGCCCTAATGGTCAGGTCCTGAGTGTCTCAGAGGCAGAAGGGCTTGGCCTCCAGGGGCCAGTGCAGGAACCCGCAGTCTCTCGGAAGCAGGACCACACAGGACCCAGCGGCCCCGAGGCCCCCCGGGGGAGAAAGAATAGCCGACTAGCGTGTGTCCGCTGAACCAGAGCCGAGGGTGTGCGTGGAGCCCGCCCCAGGGCGCTCTGTCAAGCAGCAGCCCGCTCTGGCACCTAGCATGGCCCCTGAGGGGACACTCCCACTCCTTCCACCTCACTTCCAATTCCGCCCCCGGCAGCAGGGGCTACTGCCCAAGCTCGGAGCCGCGGAGCAGGAGGGAGACTCTCCCGCCGCCGCCAACTCCATCACCCCTGGCCCCGTGGCGCGCGGGCGGGGCGGCGGGTGAGAGCCGGGTTTAGCTCCTCACCCCCGGGAGCGAAGGCAAATAAATAATCCCGAAGTCACCTTCAGTCCCTGGAGAGACTTTTCCGGGGAGAGCTGGGGTGGGGGAGGGAGGCAGTCCTTCAGCTAAGGCGGGGCGCGGCTGGCGGCGCGGGGAGAGGTGGTCGTCGCCCGCCCTGAGGGGGCAGGGACGCGGCGGCTGCAAGGGCAGGGGAGGGAAGGGAAAGGAAAGGACGGGAAGGAAAGGAAAGGAAGGGAAGGGAAGGAAAGGAAGAGAAGGGAAGGGAAGGGTCGGCGCGGCCGTGCCGAGGAGCGGCGGGGGAGGGGGGCTAGAGGGCTGGGGGGCTGCAGGGCTGCGGGGCTGCGGGGCTCCGGGCGGGCCGGGCACTCACGTCCTCTTGAAGACGCCCCCGAGGGCGCTGCCCAGCAGGAGGCAGAGCTGCTGCGAGAAGAAGACCCAGGAGATCTGGGGCAGCGAGCTGTGCGTCTGGCAGCGCAGGTCCAGCAGCGTGGGCCCCAGGAAGGCGATGCACAGGCCGAAGCTGAAGAAGACGCTCCAGTAGGTGAGCGTGGGCTGCAGGTTGCGGCGGAGCAGCCCGGACACGCGGCCGTCGCAGCCCATGGCCCCGGCTGGCGGGCTGGCGGCTGTGGCTCCGCGCGCCGGTGCCCGAGTGCCGCGCCGCCCGCGGGAGGGCCGGCTGGGCCCGGGAGGCCCGCGGCCGGGAGGGAGGGGCGGGGAGGGGCGGCCCGGCGAGGGGCCCCGCCCTCGGGCCGGGGGAGCGAGGGGGGCGCGTGTGCGGCCGGCGGGCACCGCGTCGGGGTCCGCGCCCTCCTCGCGCGGCCGGGGAGCCGGCGTCCTCCCTGCTTCCCGAACCCACGCTCACCCTCCCGGGCTGCGGGAGACCGACCGCCTGCCGCTCTTCGCTCCCACCCCCTCTCCAGCTGCCCGTCCCACCCGCGTCCTTGCACGGCCCGCCCGGGGGCGGCGGGGCCTGAGCCCCCATTGCAGAGCTGGGCGAACTGAGCCCGAGACGTCCTGGATGCTCGCACAGCCTGGAGGGCGGGCTCTTCCAGCGCTCCGCGTCCGCTCGGGGAGCGACAGTTTCCCCCCAGACTCCATCCTGGCTTGGGCTCTGCGGTGGAGGAACCCCGGAGCACAGCCCCCTACACATCGGGGGCTTCACAGATGGACTCCGAGGGTCTGACAGCGCCCCCATCTTTCCCTGGAATAGAAGACAATCACCTACATACATGCTTTTCTTGGGAGAGTATTCATGGCTTTCGTTAGCACCTCAAGAGGGTGAGCACTTGCGACAGAAAACCTTATGAAACATCCCATCTTCATGCCAAGCTCCGCCCGAGAGCTGGTCTTCGCCCGCCGCATCTCATGGGGCGCTGGACAGGTGCAGGAGGTGGCAGGATGCAGATGTTCTGTCCGGATTCCTCGTCTCTCTCCTTCTTCCTGGTGGGGAGTGGGGAGGAGGAGGGGGGAAGGAAAGGGCAGAGATCTGGAGGAACCCCATGAGGAATTCCGAAAAAATTCTTTGGGTGTTTTGGGCCTAGAGTTCTGAGGAAAATTCCTGGGTTGTTTTGTTTTGTTTTTAATGCTGGAAAACCCCGGATGGGGTTGTGGGGGGAGAGATGTTAGTCTCCAGACCTGTAGTTCTTGGAGGAGCCTGTGGCTGACACAGCCTGTGCCTCCCCCCAGGTGGCCATGGAACTGACAAGTCCTGCTTGGACCAGCTTCTGGGGGAGCCAGGGTTCCTGCATTGGCCTCTGGAGGCAGAGCAAAAAGTTGCAGACTGTCACCTCGGCTCAGGTGTTCTAGGGGTGGCAGAAGCCTTGACATCATGGCCACTGGCCCTCCAGGGGGACCAGAGCTGAAGCGGCTGAGGAGGTAGGAGGGTGGGTGCTCTCCTGACAACTTGGCCCGAGGACAGGTAACCAACTTCTCCTGCAGGCACTGGTTGTCTCTCACAACCACACTTGCTCCCGCATCTGCTCCATCCGCCCTAGACTCTGAGTGCCTGGGAGCAGAGCTTCAGGGTCTCTGTGGCTTGGTGGTTTGGGAGGTAATAAGAATTATTTATTTAGTGGTCGTGAGTCTACACAGTATTTGTGATTCAATCAGAAGTTATCCTCTGCGGGGCGCCTGGGTGGCTCAGTGGGTTAAACCTCTGCCTTTGGCTCAGGTCATGATCTCTGGGTCCTGGGATCGAGCCTAACCCCCCCCCATCACCCCCTCTCCCGGCATTGGCCTCTCTGCTCAGCAGGGGGGCTGCCCCCATCCCCCCCACCTGCCTCTCTGCCTACTTGTGATTTCTGTCTGTCAAATAAATAAATAAAATCTTTATTAAAAGAAAGATTAAAAAAAGTTATCCTCTGGAAAACAAAACCAAAAATAAATCATTACAACAAGCATTTGATTAGGTCCTCTCTGCCATTCTCACAGACTTTTAGAACCGTAGATGGTCAAAGCTGGAAGGAACCATCTCCAACTTGAGTCTCCTATTTCCACCCCATCACTACTGGTAAGAGCTTGTCAGTCCTGTTCTTGACTGATCCCTCTTACTGTTCGGGGCCTTACCTATCATTTCCTGCGGGTCCGCTTCTACTGTGAGTCAGCTCCAGTTGCAAGGAAGGGTTTGGAGCTCAACTGAAATGCCCCTCCCTGTGGCTCCCCCCCCAGCCACCCACAGGACAAGGCTAATGGCTCTGGGCATGTTATCCTTCATGCATATGACCTTGCCCCAGCACTTGGCCTTTTCAGCTCAAACGCCTGAAATGTTTTCATAATTTCCTTAGATGTAAGCCCTAGATACATCACCCTACTGGTTCAGCTCCTCCAGCCACAGTAGCCGTGACCCTGGTACAGTGAGGCAGCCCAGTGTGTCTGGGGGTGCTCGAAGCATTTTATAGCTTGATGTGGATGGTGGTTACACAGATATAAACATACATAAAAAATCATTCACGTACACACATATGTACACTTAGGATTTGTGTCTTCTATTGTAAGCAAGCTATGGTTTGATAAAATAGTGAAAAGTAAAAATAAGTAAACAAAAACGAAGTGAGAACTCTCCGTGAACACAATATCCAGCCTCCTTAGAATTGAAGCCTGCCTTCCTGCCTTCTTCTTCCTTTCCTTTCCTTTCTTTCCCTTTCCTTTTGGCCTGCAGGGCCCCTGAGCTGGGACAAGCAGGCAGGGAAACTGGCGCAGCTGTGAGGTTCTTTCTGTCATGGGGGTGCTTTGAGAGCCTGCAGGGGGAAACATCTCGTCTTGCCTGGGAAGGCTTTCTTACTAGACTGTTGTGGAAGGAGGAATATGGGAAAAGGTTTTGCTTAATCTCTCTTCTTATTCTTCTTTGTCTCTATTTTTCGGTATCATCACCTTGTCTACCTTCTTCAAGAAACTTCTCCGGAAAAATCCTACCCAATCCCCGAATTCCAGCAAGCCCCTGATCCCCTCCTGGCCCCCTATAATCTTCAGGGTCAGCTGTTACACCCAGGGACTGCCGGCTTCCTCTTCCTGCCATCCTGCCTCCCCTGCGGCCAGTTAAACGGTGAGCTCATAAGGGCTGGGACTATATTTACCATATTATATTTTATTTGCCAACTCACCCCACCCACATCCAGGTGCCTCACAGAGTGCCTTGCAGATAGCAGGTCCCGGATAAGTAGATGGGTACTGAATTATTTGCACATTGCCCTTATAATTATTTTTGGTTTTTCATCTATGTATCTTATCTCCCAATGGTAACAAGTTCCCTAAGGACAGAAGCTGTCCTCTATTTCTTCTGTGTCGACTGTCCGAATGTCTAGCCCTCCCTGGGCACCTTGGGGTCGTTCTTCAATTTTAACGACGAAACCTTGGATGGTCCCTTAGCCACTCTCAGATTTCCTCCCACGTGCATTGGAAGGAAATTATCCCCGACCCTCACTAGCTCTGGAAAGCAATCTGAGACCCCAAAATAAGGGAAGATGGACTAGAGTGGCAAAAAAGATCTATGGGAGTGAAGGGTCCTCAGGTGCTTGTATACTGAAATCTGTTTATTTGCCTCAAGGGTCACCTCCTCTGGGAAGCTTTCCTTAACCTTCCTAGGGTCCTTCCTTGGGGGTCCATCCTAAATCATTGCTAAACGTCTATGCAGTGCCTCTCCTCCAAGGAAGGGCCATGAGCTTGGCTCTTCACTGAGTGCCAGGACTGGCTCTTTGGTGAGAGCTGTTCACCCTCTCCTGACTCCCTGACTCCCGTTTACGCCTGGACGTTGATAAGCAATCCATCAACCACCTGGGATCAAGCTCTGCATCTGGGCTCCCAGCTCGGCGGGGATCCTGCTTCTTCTCTTTCTCCCTCGCAACCCCCCCACACCACTTGTGCTCTCCCTCTCTCTCAAATAAATAAAATCTTTTAAAAAAGAATGTATAAAAAGAAAAGTTTTGATGATCACAGCCTAGAGCCTTTCACCTGGACTTGGACCTGATTTCACATTTGGCAGGATCCTCTCAGTGACTGTGGGCCCGCTTTGGGTCCCCAGGACCCTCTGGTCTCTGCTTCCCAGGCTCGGAGGAGGGCAGGCAGGAGCAGTAGAAGTCTCCAATTTAAGGTCATTAAGCACATCTGCTGTTCCTCTGGCCATTGGGGAATGAGACCACCTCTCCCCTACTTCTGGATTTTATCTTCACAGCCCCAGCATCATCTCCTTGCTGGCCAGAGTGTGCAGAGTGGATTGGCAGGCTGGGTCTGGGCTCGGCACTGAGGGATGGGGGGAGTGGCAGACAGCTTGTTGCCAAGAACTGTATCCAGATGACCCGGCCACCTTACCCCACACGAACGCCAACAGCGGAGATGGGTATGCATAGGAAGATCTCCTTTGCCAACTATCTGGATGAACCGAGTTATCAGCCTGTATGGGTGGGGGGTGGTGACTGCGGGTGCCAGGAGGGACCAGGAGAGACAGGAGTGGGTGAGATGGCCCAGGAGCCTCTTAAGAATGAGACCGGTGGCCATGCGCATCCTGGAGAGACTACTGGTGGTGCTGAATATGTGTTAGTGGTTAACGGGACTAGTTGAAGCTAGCCTCACGTTGAGGGTTGGAAGGACCCTCTGAAGTTATCCTTCCACCCAGACACCCAATCCCATTTACAGCACTGCCCAGGGAGCCACTCGGCCTCAACGTTAGTGTGCCCAGGCTCGGAGTCAAGCTGTGAGATGTGTGCAAAACTGAGCCTTGGTTTCCTCCTCTCTTAAAATGGGGGGAATGAGGGCACCTGGCTGGCTCAGTCCGTAGAGTGGGAGACTCTTGATCTCGGGGTTGTGAGTTCAAGCCCCATGCTGGGTACAGAGCTTACTAAAAGAAAAAGAAAATGGGGAGAATAATACCTCCCTTACTGTGAGAAAGTGTAGACAGGGTGTGATACAGGAGCTGGTGTACCAGGCTCAATGAATTCTCCTCCTCCTCCTCGTCCTCCTTCCCAACAACAGCACAAATCGCTCTCCTGGTCTATACGCTAGCACAGGGGCTAGTGAAGTATGTCCCCGGACCAGCAGCATCAGGATGTCCTGGGAACTCCTTAGAAATGAAGATCCTTGGGGCGGCTGGTTGGCTCAGGTGGTTAAGC